CGCTGTGAAATTAGTCTCCCTTAAGTGGAATTTCATGATCTTTGGTACATGTTAGTGTTTTGTGCTATGAAAATGATTATTAATGAATTTTAATTTTATGTGTAATATATATAAACAGGGGATGATTTGTTCTTTATCAAGTTAGTTGCTGTATAACTGTTACTTTACTGAATGATTTGTTGTACATGTTTGTAATTTTTAATGTTATAATTGTTTTTTGTTGCAAATGATACAATAATTTATTGAAGCTTAGATTATTGCAGATACAAATTTCAACTGACTTTTAAGTCCAACACCAGGAGAAATTATGGCACCTTAAATCTCCCTCCTCTATCACATATACTAAGATTAATTGAAATTACTACTAAATCTATAATTTTCATTATTTTGGGATTTGTTCCATAAAACCTTGTGTAGTTATTCAATATTAGCCATAAATCTTAAATATATCAGGGAAAAATTCAGACCTCAAAGCTAACACATGCCATCAAATCTATACTTAGACTCTTAAGAATAAAATCCACTTTCAGGGCCCTCCCTGGTGGCGCAGCGGGGTAAAGCACAACACTGAGAATCTAAAGCCACTTCCGCATGAGTTTGATTCCCGCCTGCCCCGGAGGTGACCACATGGCGGGGCAGACCTCTCCTGACCCGCCCGCTGCTCCCCTCAGCAGTGTACTTCGTCCATCTGCCTGTTCTGTTCCCCACTCTGTCTCTGGTGAAGCCTCTCACTGCCCCTGAACCTCTGGCCTGTACCCCAGTTCTGTATGCACAAATAAATAAATCTTAAAAAAAAAAAAATCCACTTTCATCATTGGTCCTCAAAGTAGCACTGAACCATTAAGTACCTTACAGTAATTACAGAACCAAATGGATCCCTCCATTGAAAGCTTCCTTCATGGAACTTTCACTTACCACATGCTTAAATTAAAATCAAGTGTTCCAACTACTTGATATCAAATCAAGTAACTATTATGTTTAGAAATACTCAAAAGAGTATTTCATAAATATGGAAGAAAAAAATCATTGCATCAATTCAGAAGAAATAAAAAATAAATTTGGAGGACAAGAAATACAAATGTAGTCAACCTTGCTGTTTTCTCAGTTGCTTAAATCTCATTGTATTTGCAAATAAAGCTAAAAAATGTCAACTATAGAAATCTCTATTTCTAGTCATTTCCCATTGACCACTTTTGAATTTTTTGGTATATTTTATGGATAGCATTTTGCTCCAGTATACATGTTTGTATATCCAGACTTTGAGCAGTCACTAATCCATTTAATCCTATGAAGCCATGATGAAAGGAATACCATTCAGATAAACTCAGAACACTATCACATGAATTATAAGTCACAGAATTTTAAGTCACAGATGGTAAAGACATTGACTGCTTTGAACCAAAATTTAGCTTATATTATTAATGGCAATTAGTGGAAATGGCTGCTAAAGTTAAAGCTAAGATAAATGATCTGAGCTGACATGATTTACTAAACCCAGTTCTGCCTCTAATCCTAGATTTCAAGTCTATGTGTCTTTCTTGTTAATCAGCATTGGGTTAGTTTTGTTACTATCTTTCAAAAGAGACCATACACTAAAAAGGAGGCCAAACTCCCTTGACCTTAAAAGAAAAGGAAGTCCAGGGATCCCCATTCCCTCTCCTCTGGGGTATAGGATTAGTATATATCCACAGTTGGAACAGTGCTTTATTAAGGTGTTGGTGGAGAGGCCATGGTGGGGGAGAACAAAAGTCAATGAAAGGAATTCAAGTGCAGGAAGCAATAATGTTATATTAGTAATACACAAAATGGATAATTGGAACCATTTCTAAAGAGGATTTGTGGAAGAAAACATTTAACTGCTGATGCAAAACCATGTGTATGATGAAGTAATATATAAAGTTTCAATAACATTAATTGAGAATATTTTCTAAAGAATAGAGTTAATGGATATGAAATCCTGGCAAAAATTTGAGCCAACCTGGGTGGAACTGGAAGGGATTCTGCTAAGTGAAATAAATTAGAAGGAAAAAGATAAATATTGAATGGTTTCACTTATATGTGGAATATAGAGAAACTGAACAAATGATCTGGTAAAAGGCAAAACCTGCAAGCTGACCATAGGTCTAAGACACAGGAGAGGTGGAGTGGGTGGGTGAGAAGGCTGGGTCAAAACAGGGGAGGGAAGAGAACAGGCAGTATGGTGATGGCCAATGTACAATGGTGGTGGGAGAACTATGGGGAC